AGTACTAGCAAAAACTGTAGTAGCTGCAAATCAAATTTAAACAGACTTAAATAAAACTCACGACTTAGCCAACATCTAACGGATGCAGGTCAGTGTAGGGTATTGCACGTAAGTAGCAAAAGCAAAATTTTGAAGTACAGAATGAGAAACTAAGCTAGAAGAAACAACATATGAAGAAGAGTTGGGTATTAATGTTTGTCATTTGCATATTGTTCACGTGTGTGTGTGTACATATAGTTAAAAGCATACAGTTTAAATCAATGGATGATAAAACTTTAAGGTCTTTGAATATTTTGTGTAATTGTGGGCCCCACATTATAGAAAAACTATGGCTGTGCTGGAGTCATTCCAGGCCGTGCATACCATGTAGGGAATGTCCTTTGCTGGCAAGCTGAAGGAATTGAACCTTTTTAGACTTGAATAGAGAAGATGTGATAGTGATAAAAGCATTCAAAATCCTGAGACAGTGTAAACCCACAAAGATTTCTTCGGATTAAACAATGAAGCACAACCCAGAGGGCACGAGTGACAACTGTGTGGATAAGGTGGAAGTATTAACCTTTTTTGTTTTCAGTTGCATAATGCAGTTACTGCATACTTGTGTAACTCCAGTTTCATCCGGGACTTGAACGTTTCCTGCAGGCCCGGTTTTTGAAAGCTGCCCTCCGTGGTCCGTGGCTCTTCCAGGTGAGCGAACTGAGGGGTTTTGCTGCGTCCTATGATACTGCCTGTGCTTTCTCTCCCGCAGCCGACGACCTGAAACCTCCACCGTACAGCGAATATGCCCAAGGGGAGGCCATCACGGACGCCCAGGTCATTGCCCTGCCGGAGGGCTGGGACACCGGCAGCCTCAGCGACGCGCCTCCCCCGTACACCCCCAGCCTGGCCAGCGGTACCCCGCAGCAGGACGGCCCGGCGCTGGCGGGGCCCCGGGCGGAGTGCAGTACCCCCATCCCGGACTCCCAGAACTAGGCCGGGACGCTCACCCTGGGGCCTGAGGTGGCATCGTCTCTACTGCGCAGGCTCAAAACAGCGACGTTGCCCTCTTGCCGAAGAGTACACTGAGGCAGGCTCCGTTCGGTGCCATCTTCTTCCTCTCTGCGATGAAGGGAGCGTGCCCAGGTTTGCGGACTTCAGCAAAAGAGCCCCAGTCGCTTCTGTGGACTGTGAAGAAGCAGGAGTCCGTGACATTGCATCTCGGTGTTCAATGCAATAGCAGCAGGAAATAAGGACAGAACTATTGACTGTCTTTGCAGTTTTCTCGGCTATGAGCTGTTTTTCCTTCTTTCTTTCAAAAGAAATATTAACAGCTTGTGACTCACAGTTTCCAAGCCTTTGTCAACGTTTATTTTTGTAAAATATTTTGCTGCATATAACTGATTGTAGACTGATCTGTTGTTGAAGTGACCCATTTTCTTGCTGCTGCTGTTGCTTTTCAACCACTTTTTTTTTTGCTTGATTTTTTTTTTCCCCCCAATGTCTGTGGATGCATTCTATAAAATTAGTGGCCAGGTTCCAGCCTGTCTCCTCCTGCCCAGTAGTTTTCAAGCACAAATTTAAGGAACAACCCACAGTCCGCTGTTTCATATTAATAACAGAAGTGGTTGCTGGAAGTAACTAGTGACCTAGTTACCTACCGGTATACACACCTTAACCGGTGCCATTATTAACCTGTATTAGAAAAACATTGTGCTTTATTGGTGGTGCTCTCAATGTGATGAGTTCTGTGGTGGGGAGGCTACTTGACATTCAACTTTAATGTGACTCTGAATATGAATTGTTCATATGTTAACATGTTCAAAGGGAAATGACTCTTGCTTTTGCTGTAAAATCACTTTAGCTCGTGGAAAGGTACCTGTTTTTGTAAAGTTACTGGAATTGATTTTGGAATCGGTGAACATGGTTGGTTTGTGAGTTTTCTAGCAGTTTTCATGATAAGGTTTCTTTTTTTTCCTGTGCACTGAAATTGTGCCGAGTTGCCCGGACGTCCTGGAGTGACCGTCTGAACAGAGTGCATTGACGTGCTTAGTTGATTAGCTTTCCTTAGTGATGGTTATTTCCTGATTGTGCTTGTTACAGAAGTGTCGAATATCAGTTTTACTTTTTAAAGAGAACAGAATGACATTATTTTCAGTTTTATTCTTTGTTTCTAAATGTCTTGATGCTGTTTCACATTTCATGGGTTTAACTGGGGGTTTTAGGAGAATGTCACGAGACGGGTGCTTTGAAAGGCTTAAAACTATAGAGTAACCAAAAATGTTATATTTCTCTAAATATTGTATCTTGCTAAAGGATGTGTACAGACAATCCCAAACTCACTTGTATGAACTTTAATTTGTAAATTGCATTATTGTCCTATTATGTAAAATAATAGAAAAAATAAAGTTTTATAGCTTTTAAAATTTGACCAGTATATCGTCTGTATAACTGTTCACAATTGCTATAAATAATTACAAAACTAAATTTTGTCAGCATATGCCAGGGAGACAACCTTGCTGTTTGTTATAAATCCACAAAAAGTCATGCAGTACATGTATCTGTGACACTCAAGTAAAACTGAGCAAAAAAGAGAATCTGGAAGTAACGCTATTTCACATCAAGCTAATGCCAGCAGTACTGGTTTGTTTGTGAGGACAACCGTGGGGTTTGTGAAAATGTCTGATACATGTAAATTTAGGAGGAAATATCCAGGCAGACATAAAAAAACATCCTGCGTCATTTGCCATTTTTGGCTTGTGAATATTTACTGCCACCTGGTGAGCATAGTGTGACTGCGCATATACACCAACAGCAAACAAGTCATGTCTGTTCGCCAAAACCACAGCGTATTCGCACCTGGGCTATGTACTGTAGATAGCTGGTAACTACTTGTGTTCTGATTATACTTTGATGTAAATTGAGTGTGTTGGAAACTGGCTTATGAATTTCTCTTCTCTAAAAAAAAACATTTGTCCTGTAAACTACAATCTTGTGAAACACTTTCTTAGGCGTATTTCATTCCATTCCTGTTTCGTGCGACTGCGGTTTTTTACCGTGGCCGTGAACATGTCACAGGTTTGCACACAGGTGCAGCAATGTGATCGGAGACGGTGCAATGACGTCCGATCACAAGGCGCCTGGGAATTCACAACCCGGCCGCAGCCGAGGCGTGGAAACCGAAACAGAAAGTGGTTCCCAGCACATCAAGGTTTATAACAACCGAATGGCACAGTCTGTCCACGAAAGGAACAGGATTTACAAGTCGGAGCGCTGCGTCTGAATCTAGAGGATTTTCTCCAAGGAATGGCAAAAAGTAAGTCTTCTGTTCTTCAGGTGGGATTTGCAGCTGCTGTAGGGGGCCCTTGAGCGCACAGACCCGCTCTTGTCGTTACCGATGCCGCTGCTTTGAGACCAAGGGCGGTTGTGCGAAGGTGTTGATGTGTTTCCCTTGGCTGCTCCAGGCGAGGGGCCCGTCCGGGAGTGCGCGCAGGAGCTGCGCAGGATGGGCGATCTTCTCCACCGGCAGCACCGACTGGCCAGCGGCCTCGTCCACGGGCCCCGGCCGCAGAAAGGCGGAGACAACGCCGGCGCGGCCTCGCCGGACCGGCCCAGGTCCCGAAGGAGAGCAAAGGAGCCCGAGAAGTGATCCAGACCGGCCCCCGTGGCGAGAGTGCGCCAAAGTGTGACCTCTCCGGCACCCGCAAGGGTCTCAGGCTCGGGGCGGGGGGCTCCAGGAAAGTTAGCCAAGAAACGGACGGGTACAGAGAGATTGTTACTCTTTTGCCTAAGGAGCTGGGTACTGCTGCGGTGTGTCTCGGCTCTCTATAGGCTGAGGGAGCGGTGTCTCTATTACTCTTATTAAGAATGATGCTCGGACTGAGATGTTCATACATGCGATACTTTGATTTAGCGTAGTCAAACATTTCTGTATGTGGGGGACTTCGTAAGCCCCCCGCAGTTTAACTATAGACCCATCGTCAACTGAATACGTGTTATATCACGATAAATATCTAAGGGTGTTCATTCTAAATCATGAATCATCCTGTTCTAAGCGGTGTGTAAGAATGGGGTCTTCCCACGCGTGTTGAGAACGTGGGCAGTCTGGGCACCTGAGCTCAGATGGAGTACCCGCAGTTACCTCACCTGAAGAAGCACCACCGCCGACACCTTGTGCCTCTTTTCTTTGCCTCTCAGCAGGGAATAAACCTTTACCGGTTCCTGTGGTGGAGTATATTACTGGAGTATTGTTTTTTTTTTACTTTGAGATCCTTGGTAAATGAAATGTACAGTAGCATGCAGCATATTGTTGTGAATTTAATCAATTAAACATTTTCAAACATCTATTTGTATGATTTGAATTAAAGGAGAATTAACGTCAACAAATACAAAACGCAAAATGTGTATTATGTTTGTTTAGTGTTTCTATTATAAAAATAAAAAAATGTTGTGTTACTTAAATGTTTCGCAAAATATATTGATTTGTCCATGTAGTCTCATTTTCTTGAATATCGATCTTCCTCATGTTTGCCTTTATCAGTATACTACACGAAAGTCCACTAGGCTAAAGCTGAGATATTAAAATTAACGTAATCTATAAAAAAGCAGATTTCCATATTAGGCAATATAGAAAAAAATCACGATTAAAAATTAATTTAATTAATTGATTGATTAATTAATCGTTTATTTTTACCATAAAAACAGCAAATTATATTGCATGTTGTTAACTTTTTTTACATTAGGACACTCTTGTTTAGCATGATTTCAATATTTCACAAGTTAAAAATGAAATTTTTACATTTTTGGAGTTCTTGCCAAATATTTAAGTATACGTCGCACTTGCTGTTTTTAACTCGACTGAGGTACATTTTTAAATAGTACTAGTACTATTTAAATTAGTTTTTGTTTTTTTTTAAATAAAGTAATTATAATAGTACTTAGGCCCGTCTGATGAAATTAACTTCTACCTGATCACTTTTTAAATTCGGAAACATTAACGACGGGTCTGCGGAAAGTCGGACAGGTTTCGGTGCTGTACAAGGGGGAGGGGGCGAGGGAGGACGGGACATGTGGTTCTCTGCAGTGACCTATAAAAGTACCGACTTTAATTTTCAAAATCATTGAAATCCGAACGCTGTGCTTTTAATGCTTATCGTTTTTGTGCGTGGGGAATTTATTACGTCATAAACTAACTGTTGTTTAACGCGTTCAGGGAGTTATTGGTGACACTCGCTAGTTGTGTTGTCTTTGACTGTTACTGTGCACTGGTGTGCACCATGCCCTTATGTCGGAGCTGAAGCCAGACGCGGGTCCCGGGTCCGAAACCTCTCGGCCCGGCGGTGCCGCTAACTCTAACAGGCCATCCTGGGGGCTGTGGGCGACCGGGCTTCTTGGGGGGTCTCTGGTCGCTCTTTACGCAGTGGCCACCCCGTTTGTCGCCCCGGCCCTCAGAAAGGTTTGTCTACCCTTCGTACCCGCGACCCCAGCCCAGGTGGAAAACGTGCTAAAGGCGCTGCAGACGCGGACCGGGTCGCTGGTCGACATCGGAAGCGGGGATGGACGGATCGTAAGTAGCGATAACTCCGGTCACCACACGACCTTCCCCCTCACAGATGCTCTTGGTTCGATGTGGTATACTGTAGCTCCACTTTAGGCTTTTCCAGGAGTTCATAAGAACTAGAGACACGCTAGGAAACTGCGTGCCTTAACGCAAAACGAATGACAGTTTCATGAACTTTGTAGAAAAAGACACCCGCCCCAGACGCCTGCTGTCGGAAACGATGGGGCTCTGTTGGGCGGAGCTATAAAACACAAAACGTGACAATGCGCAGAAACGCACGACTGGGACCCTGGTCCCTGAGCGCTAGCCGGTGTTTAATAAGCGGTGGCTTAATAAGCGGAGTGTTGTGGAGAATGAGCTTGTGACCGTGTCCTCTCCGCAGGTCATCGCGGCGGCGAAGAGGGGATTCCGGGCGGTGGGCTTGGAGCTGAACCCCTGGCTGGTGTGGTACTCCAGGTACCGCGCATGGAGGGAGGGCGTCCATCGCCACACCGACTTCTACATCTCCGACCTGTGGAAGGTATCGCCTCGCTGCACAGAAACTGAGGTTTCTCTCCAGATTGGAAACCCCTTCCTCACTAGCTGATCGGATTACTAGTTTTTGTAGTTGCTTTTGGGTGTGCCTGTAGTCGATGTTTGACTGCTGGCCTCTGCTGGTCTGTTATTTCGTTGTGGTTTTTGATACTTTCCTGACCCCTCTGGGTACTGGGTTTGCGTTTTTGTGTTGTAAAGCGAGTCGAAATGCTACTTTCCCGTTGTGACCCGCTTTACTGATTTAAAACAACAAAAAACAACAACAGCCTCTCCTCCCGTGTTTAGTTTATTTCATGAATGCTGCAGATATGATTCTTTTTCTGTATTCCTGTTCATCTGGTCCATCTGGCATTGAGATGTAAGTGTTGGTACCCTCCCCTTCGTCTTAAATGCTTTACCAGAACGTCCCCAATACCCCTTGCTTACACAGATGAGTGTAAACACAGAAGAAGTATCATTAACAAGTGCATATAGTCAGAGAAGGAAGTTTTTTGTAACTTATAAGTGGATATCATTAAGATCTGGGGGTAGTAATTTTAATTTGATAATTAATTTTAATTTAATATTGTAACAACATCCATGAAACATATGGTATGACCTGCACACTGCTTCGACTCCTTTTATTCAGTTTTCTCATTCTTTATCCAGAAACCATTCTGTGCTGAGCTTTTACTGGGATTCAAGCCATTTGGTTTTAAGCTAGTTGTTACTCCTGATCTGTACGTTTCCATGCACATTACGGTCTTTTGGATGAGGAACATTGGACAGGCAGTCAGCATATTTCTTATCTTGAGATGAGGTAATGAGGTTTTTAGTGTTTCTGATCAATATGAATAAAAAAATAAGCGACAACTGTTTTAATGTTGCCCAATTGAGGTATGTTAATATCAGCAGTTTTATTATACTACAAAATACTAGTAGAGATTTGGAGTGAATTTTTAACAACCATAATTCACATTCACATTGTGTTACATTGTATCTGGTGGTATCTGACATGTCTAAGAGTTTTGTACAGAAATGTTAATATTATTATAGTCTTTAGGAAGCTAATTGTCATTTTTTTACATTCTGAATCCGATTGAACGGTCGAACAGCGGGTGGCTGCGAGTGTTACTGTAGGCGGATAATATTTCAAGTTTGTTTGGGAGAACGCAATGCGGTAATGTACCAGCAGGGGGAGCCAATTCACCAGCTTGTGCTTGTTCACTCAGATCTGAGCAGCATTAATCGTTTTCATGTTTCATTACAGTACTGTCATCTGCACCCCATCTAATCTTGTGATATCTTTGCATTCAGTATTTTAGGAAAGGAATGCATATTTCAGATGGTGCAGATTAAATTACATTTTTACAGGTGTGGATACTATTTCATAATCATATGAGAGAAAGATTCAGTTTAGTTTTGTTTCCACAAAGGTGCACTGTACATGGCAGTCTTGTGAAATCAGCTTTTAGATCTGTGTCTATTGTGGCAGAAAGTGTTTTCTTGCATTAATATAGGTTTTATATTTTACTGTCCATAAAACCCTAATTATCAAGGCACCTTTATAAGTGAGACTCATTATGTGCATTGTGATAAAGTGATGGGAAGATTTGAGAACAGAATATAGCAACACAACTCCAAGCTGTCTCAGTTTCTCAAATTGAAGAACTCAGGTTCTTCAAGAAGCAGTTGAAGAAAAGATAAGCAGCTGAGTCTTTGTCCTTCAACATAAAGGTTGCTGTTTTTAGTAAATGTGTATTTGCCATTCACTAGATCGAAAAGAGGTGTTAACATCCTGTGCGACACTAATTTTCAGGGCATTGCATTTGCGTCTGGAGTTTCATTGATTTAAGATGGATCTTCGTCGCCCGGCAGCAGTGTACGGGTAGCCATGGAAACATGTTTTGGGCTGGCCGATTGGCCAGTAAAGGATGAGTGTTATTTGCAGGCCAATAACGTGATGTTGCCCTGTGCATGAAAAGCCAAACTCTGTGCCAGCGCTTCTGTGACGCTAGTAGAAGAAACAGAGAATAGTGCCTTCTACTCCATCAGGAGATGAGCTTAAAGTCTTGCTTTCTTCTTCTCTTATTTTCCATAGAGGTTTTGGGAAAAATATATTGGATATCAATTACATTTAAAACTGACAGAATACACACTGATAATGGTGCTGTTTCATAGTTCAGAACTTTTTTCAGTTTGGAGTTTAAAAATACACATTTGAACCAACACATTCTTTGTGTTTCAAGAAACTGGGTTTGCATGACAGGGTATATACCTTCACCCATTTACACGTTATACATTTTTTAGTCGTTTGTATCGGTGAACCTTTAGTCAGTCATTATTAAAGTCAAAATTCTCGGTAAGACTCTTAAAGTGTTTGCTGAATAGATTGCATCATTTTCATTATGTGTTTTCAGGTTTTTTTCCACAGTGTGTTTTCATTTAGGGTAATATATTGTTTGATTAAGAACATTTCTGTTTGTACCTTGGTTTTACTTTCATGCTGTGATTTTCTCCTGAGTCATACAGTGAAGTGGAGATGTGTATCTGTGCTGTACCAGTGCTTGGTCTTCACATCAACAATTACGAGTGTTTTGACTGGGTCTAGATAAGGAATTTAAGATAAGACAGATGTTAGGAGACCATTTCTAAGAAAAAGCCCAACAGAGAATGTTTTGTAACTTCTCTACAACTTTCTATTAATCTTCAACTAAAAGTTTGTTAATGTACAGTTTAAACTTTTGGTTTGGAAAGATCCATAGTGCACATTGTAATAGTTTGGGGACAGTGGTGAACATAAGCATTGAAATCATTGGGGTAAATCAGATTATTCCACCTGACCTCCCCAAACAGAGGCCTGTAAAAAAGGCCAACAGCAATGTGGAAGTGTGTGGCACAGCAACTCCTCTTGGATTTTACAGTACGCTCACCTGGGAGATGCCTGTGTACCCCAGGGTGTAACTGTCTAGGAACTGTAAAGGTCTAGGAATTTGCCTATCCTGTCTGCAATTTCACTTTTGAATGGTGTAAGATAATTCTGTGTGTTTTGTTGGAGTTCTAGTGGGATATGTTCCTGAGTTGTTGTTTGTCCCGACCTCTTTCCTTTTGTTACGTTGTATTATTGTCTTGCACTCCATGGGGATAATAATAAGAAGGTTTGAGTGTTCGACAGGACTGTGCTGTTGAGCCAGTCTTGTTGGAGGCCAGTTTAATCTAATAGTTTAATCAAAGGAAATGTGCAGCAGGATAATGAATAAAAAAGAAAATCTTGGTGGAAAGGAAATGGTAGTCTTTAGAGATACTCAGTGGATTCCAGTTATTTCATGAATTGTTTTTATTTTTCTTTAGGTCAGCTTCTCTCAATACAGCAATGTCGTCATCTTTGGAGTCCCTCAGATGGTAGGTTTTGATTCTTCACCAACTTTCAATTCAAAAGTTTGTCCAGGACTGTTTTCTTTTAAACAAATTCCAAACTTCTGTATTTTTTCATGTTATATTGCTATAATATTTTCTAAAGAAAACTCTGTATGGATTTGTGCATAGTTTAAATTAGATTGCTGACATTGTCATTTGCACACTAGTTGTAAAATGTACTTAATCATAAAAAAATGTCTTGACTGGGCAAATACTGTAATCCCTTAAAAATTAAACGAGGAGCAGTTTTCATTTGTATGCTTGTGTCGAGGCGTTCTTTTGTGTGTAAACACATCCACCTCAGGGCCTTGAAATGAGAGAGATTAATTTGAATGTCTTGGATACAGGATTATTAGCAGATTTGTGTGCAGGCTCATTCTTAGAAGAAAATGAAAAGATCAAATATATGGTTGATCACTTGAAATCATAAAGTGGAGCAAAACATTGAAGTCTTTGCCTAAATTTAAAAAACAAATCACATTAAAAACTGCCCCTCTGTGCCTCCGTGCTATATCATTTATAATCTTTCTCATTCTGATTCAGACTAAGTAGTAATTTGACACCAAAAAAGGAGGCTTATTTTTATTCAGTAATATACTTGGCCTGCTTTCTTAGTAACAGTACTACAGGAAGAATTCCAGCTATCAGGTCCTCGATGATGGAGGGAGATAAGGGCAGTTTTGGAGTGATCTTTACTTTCCTTATCTAAATGGAGCTGGCTCTCAATTAATTAATCAATTAACCATAGGCTCTGGCAGCAGTCCCAGATGTGAGAGAGAATTCTGAGAAAATCAAGTTCCACAATATACTCGTGGGCTTCATCTTTGTATAGTAATCTGCACAATCTGAAGGAGTTCATGAAGTTGGCTGAACCTTGTGAATCTGTAGTTAATCAGAAAATTGGTCATATTTGTCATGTGACATTTGTAATCAGTGTCAAAAATCCAATGAAATTACCTGGGTCTGTTCTCCTGCCTATGGAAGTGATTTCATTTCCAAGCAGTCCTTATATGCTGGGTGGCTCGGTGTACTGCCAAAAAAAACATCACGACCAGCACATTAACCCATTTTAAATTTCGGTGTGGCTACACCACATGAAGTGACCAGAGCCTAAATCTCCTATTGACCCTGACTCCCTGCCTTCTGCTAACACGCGTGCTCTGGTGGAGTACATTGGGCAGAGAGTGTTGGGACACATTTTTATTTCTTCCACTGACACATCAGGGTGGATTGTGCTACTCCTTCACGCCCATGAACTTTTGTCCTGTATCACTTCCGGGTTTTATTTGCAGGATTCCTGTTTCCAGCACTTTCTTATGTCTCTGTTAGCTTCCATTATTGAAAAGCTGATAGATAACCAAGTGTGCAGAGAACCTGGTGTTCAGTTAGGCTATGACCTTTATGAGGGTGTGAAAGCATTTTATCCTAAACATCCTCGTTCTGATGGTGTGGCCTTGTACAAAGGCCGTCATGTTCCCTTTGCACAGTAAAGCAAAGACAGTGTGTCTTGTCCCTCAGATGGCACAGCTGGAAGACAAACTGCAACGCGAACTACAGCCTCCCGCCAAAGTCATCGCCTGCCGATTCCCGTTTCCCACGTGGGTACCAGCGCAGGTGACAGGGGAGGGAATGGACACTGTGTGGGTGTATGATGCCAGATCCCCTCGTCAGCCGGAGATCCGAGACCTGCAAGAGGAGCTGTGCTGCACAGGGAGGCAGCACCAAGAGGAGTGAAATTGCAAATCAGATCTTTATATTTCTAAAATGGAGTTTGGGCAAAGGATGCTTTAGACTTTTTGAAGAAAACTAAAAGAGAAACAACACAATAAGGGGCTTACTGAACTGTTGTCACCAGTTTCAAAGACTGAAGCCAGAGAGTGGTGGTTTGCATTCCAAGACTGGGTTGAACGTAAAGTACTATATATAGCTGCCGTGTAAGGACAGGAAAGAGGCAGTCTGTCTTACTTCACTGTTCCTCTGAATCAGCGTGTGTACAGTTTCAGGAGAACCCTTCTCCATTTCAAGGCTGCTTGGTTTTACTTGGCTTTTGAGTGTCCGTTAATAAGTGTGTGTTTTAAAGCATAATGGGCTCTTAAATCATGCTGAATGAGATCATGAAATACTACATTCTTATACGTAGATATGGCTTTGGAGATAACTGTGGAAACAAAAATGAATGGTTTCCTCTCTCCTGGGTAAAAGCAAACGAGCGGCAGTATGTTCAGGTGATGAAGTAGTACAGTGAGGGTCCCTGCCTTGTGAGTGATCTGAGTGTGCAGATTGTAGTAGCACTCTTGTGTGGTAAATGCTATCAGTTATCCTGGGAATTAAAAATAACGAGGCAAACATCTACTGTTAATAATATTTCTTCTTTGACAGTATAGTGTATATTAGCACAAGGTGGTGCTGTGGATATGTTACTGCCTGAAAACATGGTGGTGAATGGGCAGGAGCAGCACAAGAGAAAATCTTTCCCTGAGAGCATTTTGTGCTGGTGTGCTGTCTATTATTAGCATGATCTCCACTGGACCAACCCCCAGTACACATTTTGCGTGTGTTATACTTAAAATATAACCTACTGGGCTGTAATTTATGTTTAAGATTTTCCAAGAGAATCTACATTGATGCTTATTTTATTACTCGATTCCATTTAAATTGCAGTGACCGGGAAAAAAAAGCACTGTCCTTCTGAACACACTGCAGCCCAGTGCTGTAACACTGACCTACTGAACACTGCAGCCCAGTTCTCACTGTAACACACAGCATAATTGATACAGTGACAAATCAGAAATTGTTACAAAATTCTGTTTTTATCTCTGGACCCACTTGAGTCTGTCATAGTTGTTCCCCAGATCCTTTGAAGTTTCAGCTGCTGCACGTTCTTCCTATATTGGTTTATCTTACTGCCAGCTGTGGAGTTCTCAAGTTGTAGTTGGCATCAGAATAAGATACTTGGCTTAAAAAAGTTATATTTGAGCTTCTCATTAAATACAGAATCATCCATGATCCATGACAAAAATCCATAGCATATAATTATTGCTATCCAAAGTTAAAGGAGTTAAACATTTTGTTTCAAATATTAGTTTCAGCTAATTGTAAGCATTTGTGGTTTGAGTCTCATTGCAGAAGTTGCAGTTTGTATTTTTTGTTATTATTTCGCTTTTTGATTCCTTTTGTTAGCTTCACATTTAATACTTGCTCATTCACTTGCACCAGCATTACATTCATTGTTTGGCTTTTTCTAAAAAATCTTTATTTAAAAAAAAAAACATTTTTTATGTGGTGTACTAAAGAAGTTGTCAATGCAACAGGCCTGTCATCAATCCAATTCACAGTCGATGATTAAACATTTCTTATATGTTTTCTGTGTATAGTACCTGTCCCTTTTCCATTCAGGTGGCTCACCCCTGATCTTCTCTCTAGTTCACAACATCACTTTTAGTGAATTGTAATTCACTCATTTGGCAATAGTCAGCATTCAAAACAATGGAATTTGGTAAAGGAATGTTATCTCATTCAAATCAAGAAATAACCATCTGCTTAAATTAATTGTTAAGCTTTTAAGAAGTGGAGGTCACGTTAAAATATGTGCAGCATATGTGTAATAGGATGGCAAGGTTTAATCAAATCAAAGAAGGAGAAAATGGTCAACATGATTACAGAATAAACTGCTACTGCGCAGGCTCCATGTCCTGATTCTCTACAGCAGGTAGAGAATCCTGATCACTTCAATTCCCTTGCAAGTCTTCACTCCAGCAAATATTTTATTATTGAAGGCGTCTTCAGCTTCTGGGGTCTTAAACAAATTAAGGATCAATTCAATGATTTATTTGAAGATGCGTAGTCCTGTAATGGAAGGGAATGACTAAGATTGACTGCCCCCCCTCTAACGCAAAGTGAGAATGACTTGTTTACTACTTGAGGGTGACAGATCAGGACCATTGCATGCATCTAGAGTTAAACTTGGTGGAAAAAGGGTCTTGATTCATAATGAAGGAACAGATCTAAAGTGTACCGAAGCATTTTCAACCAATTATAGAACAGGTGCAACCTGTTCCTAAACACTGTCTCGAAGTCTGCAGCAGAAAAGAGCTTGAATCAGCTAATGAGTCTGAGCACAGGCTAAAAATACACTTTCCTCTCAGCTTTTCTAATGCACTGTCTGTCTGAGAAGCCAATTGATTCATTGGCTGGCCGGTCAGCGACTGTTGTTTTAATTCCGTGCTGGTCAGTCGATCCATTAGTCTCCCGTCGGAGAGAGGCCCATTTGCTCCTGGAGTTTCTGTTCAATGTGTAGCAGGGGCCACTCTGAGGCAAATCAGGTTGGTTTGGCACCTTAATACATCAGGACTGCAATGATGGAATGAGAAAAGCTGGTATCTCTGCAAACCGAGATTTATCAGGGCTAGAAAATGTCCCTGCTGTACATGAAAATCACTGCCTCTGAACCTGGAGGGCAGGTTTTCATTTCAACTTGGATCTTAATTAACAAATTGAACAAATTAATTGATTAATTAGGTGTAAGGGATCTGAGGATTTAAAGAGACTGTCCTTCTGCGCCGTGGCTTCCTGAACTGGAGCATAGCAGCCCCAATGGGCAGGGTCCCCTTCTTAGGGAAGAGGTACCTTCTTGTACCTGTCTCAGGTACAGACTTTTTCATCTGTGCAAATTTTTTAACATTCACTTTGATTAAGGTGGGAGCAATGGAGTACGATGTGTCACATTCTGGCAAATCTGTTCGAACGCATTCACATTTCTGCAGCAATTTCTGCAGAACCAAGGGAGTAATTTAAGGGAGTCAATAGAAAATGTCACTGCTTCTTGAAGTCTGTGCAGGATGCCCTGTTGTCTAACCCCTTCCTTGATGGCTGAGAGAAGCAGAAATGAGTTGTGTTAAGAGTGGCCTTTGAAGCAAAATAGCTGAGTCAGAATCTCGATAGCCAGACATAATAGAACTAATCACAGATGAAAAGGGCAAGACTCCCTTCCGGTTCTCTTTTAGCAGGACAAGATAAGTGATAAGATGTCTATCAAGCTGTGTTCTTTTCAGAATGAGACATGAGCAAAATAAATCCATGAACAATGAAATGCTGTCTGGGGGTAACATTTTCTAGGTTGGAGTACTGATTCTCTTAATGAGGAGTTTCAATTAGCCTAATTTCTATTAGCTGTGTGCCAATCTGCAGGGAAGAACACTTGCCAAGACATGCAGAGCTGCAAATAAATGGGGTTAAGAAAATAAAAATAAATGCAACAGTTGTGAATGTTCCACACTATGGACTGAATTTTCAAAGAACAATATGTACTGTATACAGACCTGAGAGGCTCTTAAAAAACAAGCATTTTAAGACTTGGCTATCTAGTGTTTAAAGAAAATAAGGCTTTAAAAATAACTTTTAATATCTAATAACATCTAATATTTTAATTTAAATTAAATTTAATTTAAATTTTACAAAATTATATTTTTGCAAAAAAGTCATCAGTTTCCCAATTATGGATTTGTTTACTAATTGTCTCTTCCAAACCACATTATAAATCCATTTATCTTCACTTAGGGGGCCACATTTATTAAAGTCTAATGACCACATTCACAGTCAGTCCCACAGAAACCACATCATCTCTACGTCTTAGGTTGACACTATTGGGAGGTGGTTTCTAACACAACATATTTAGAAAATAAGATAAGTGTTATGAAATGTGTGGAAACTGGATAGATGCTGATTTCACAATAAAAAAACAAAGGAGAAAAGGTTACAGAAGGGATCAGTATGGATCAAAGAATGCCTTTAGAGATAACTCAGTATTCACAAAGCATTTCAAGCATCAGCACAGTCTTCTCTGAGGGCTATAAAAATTCACCACTGAAGGCTTGAAATGAATGAAGAATAGCTCAACACCATGCCTGTAAAATAATGTGCTGTAACCTACTACACTAAACTTTGATTTGTGTTGTATTCTTTTAAGAGAACGTGCCAGCAATGGTAATTTGTAATACATCCTTTGTAAATATTGCATAAAACATTTTCATGTTGAAATCTCTGAACTAAAGTCAGGTCTGCTAACCTTGTACGTCTGTTTTCACTGACATCCTGTCCTCAAGGTTGACTTGATTTTGCAGGTACCTTCACCGTCTTACTGACGCCTTCTGAAGGGTGGAGGGTCGTCCCTGGGTTAAAACTTCAGGTTTGCTTAAGATGATTCCCGTCACGTCACACCTCCTGACTGCTAAATGACAGAAAAATGACTCAATCAAATTTACGACTCAGCAGACTTCATGAATTGAAATTCGGTCTAGGAGGCCCAAATAGTTTTGCTGTGGTGTTACTTCCAGTGTTTCTTTGTGATTCTGCGATATCATATACTGTAGATCTGTCCAATATATTTTTACACAGATTTTACACAGAGAGGTTTTGCAACAGAACTGAATTGCCTCAGTGCTGACGGGAGCTACAGGATCTACTAGTACAGGAAGAAGCAGAGATTGCACTACAGAGTATTGGGAGCTGGTAGATGTATTAATTCCTAGGTAAACGTCTCTGTGAGGAGATTTTAAGACTGATTTATGGAGCTGGAGCTCTGTGTGGAACTCACTCTCAGCTGAGGAGCTTTCTTTCTTCTTGAGGGCTCACAATGCAGGAGCCAGCACAGACTTCACCGAAAGACCACAGAGAAAAGAACTCTTCCAAATAAAAGTTTCTCTTCATACTGTACATAACCACTATTCAAAGCTATAACAGAATAGTAAAACAAAGTGTACCTTAGGTGGGAAATGCATAAAGGGCTAGTTTTTGTGAACATTTGATTGTCAGAATTGTAGCACACCATGCTGGGACAAATGCAGATGCATTGCCTGCAGGATACTGAGGAAATGGGTTGGCTGCTATCTGGGATGATGCACTGCATTAGGACAGATGTTCACAGCAAAAAAAAGGATGTGATTGCTGGACTGATGTTATTGAGCAAAAGATACATGTTCTCTTAAATCTGATATTATTTTTCCACATGTGTTGAAAAAATGTCATTGTGTAGTAAAAAAAAGTTTCTGAAGAAAGAATTTGCAATAGCGTTGAATAGCATTATGCTGATGTGAGATACAGGAAGAACCACACTCCGGACTATGGGGAGCTGTTAGAGGTTTTCATTCCTAGGTAAACCTCTGAGAAGAGACTGTAAATACATGTGTACTGAGACAGTGAGTGAATGGTAAACTTGTTTTGGCAGATAAACATAGTTAGCCATTCTGCTTCCACATGCAATATCTGATATTAGTTTGACCCAGCATGTATTAATCCTATTTAAATTCCTGGGAAACTGGAGAAAGAAATAATAATCTATTGCAAATGTGGCCAGTCTTAAATTTTTATTGCTTGCAACACAAGGACAATAGTGGATCAGAACACACTGGATTGATTTTAGTAAAGCCAAATGCCTGTTGTCTATTCTAGTAATAGGATGAGAATTTACATTTTAATTGAATCATCATGTAGATCCGCATGCATTTTAGGCTGATAGGAAAAAACCAAAATTCATATTAACTGTCTCCAAGAGATGACTAGCAGTCAACTTCACTTACATTAGCAATGCAGAAACGACCTTGTTACTAAAGTACCAGAGTTTACTCCTAGGAATTAAAACGCCTTATATTTGTGAACAGAACAAAAAACACAAATCAGTAAGCTGCAAGGATTCAATTGTTTTCCTAATCATGCTGCTGCTCCTTAGATACTGGACTAAGGCTTATTTGTTCTTTACTTTTTGTCTGCAGATCCATTCTTTGTTACGCAGTACCAGGTTTCCGTGAGTCATTTTCACATCTGTCTCAAATAATTTCTTGGTTCTCTTTGTATTAGAAGAAGACAGGGAGAGATAGGTTTGTTGAATTATCCATTTTATGTACACGCTGGAGACCTGAAACCTTCATATGCTTTAATTTGAGCTGAGATCACTGTACCCAACAGAAGTCGCAGGAAGAGATCACTGAATTGTTTAAGCAAAGTGTGCACTTAGGTACGAAGAGATGGACATTTAATGCCTCCGTGTTTGACAGGGTCATCCTCTTGTTTAACAGATACATCTTGTAGTCATTCCTCAGTGAGGCCTGCAACTGAAGCTACAACTGAAAGTCAGGTGATTGATGATCTAAGAGGCCAAGAACAAACAGGAGCAATGAACTGAGCCACAGAAATGTGCTCCGCTTTTTTCTTTTTCAAATTGGTCTGGATGGAGGCATCAGATTTCATGACAAATGAACCAGCAGCTGAGAGACAAAAGGGAGTAATCTCTGCACAGCAGTGCAGGGCGATGTGTTGACCAACTTGTACAAAGACAGCATATCAGAAAAGTAGAATTAAAAGAGAGATTGTGCTGACCGCATGCCGCATACTTGTTAATTGAAAGGAAAAGACCATCGCAATCACAGGGGGAGTTCTGGACCATGCCACTCAGCTATTTCTGAGATTAACTTTGCTGTTCTCCCCAGTGATCCTTAAAATCCATCCCTGATTGATGAGCTAGCTCTATGACAATCAAATTTACCCCTTAATCCTTAAAAATGACAATTCTTTCAAAAGCATATCTGATAAGCCATTACCTCCAAATAAGTAGAATCATGAAGTGAAAAGTAATGTGTCAAGTAAAACCCTGGTTTCTTTTCAGCTAGATTAGCTGCTCACTCATCATAAGGCTACAGTTAAGGACTTTTCTTTCAGTTTCACAGAAGAGGACAACAGCTAAAAGTAATATCAATATTAGCCTATGTTGAATATACATATAGTTTCCATTTCCCGAATATCCAATTTTCTTGCACTTCTTTGCAGCTTCTAACAGCTACAGTAGAAGACAGCAAGTTTAC